TAAAAAAAATAATTTAATGACTCTTATAGATGTGGAGTTAGATTTCTGGAGGAGAATCATATATAGCCAGTAGAATGTTTGTTTCTGTCTACCTCACAACTCTTTCCTTTCCATGCAGTATGGAAACTTGTGCTACTGTCTTGCCAACTCTTCAGGTCTCCCAGCGCACAGGAGTGCTGTGATTTATGAGCATCTAATGTAACAACTGAACAAATTACACATTATCCAGCTAAATGTAAATGTAAAATGTAATGTAAAGGTGAAAAAAGAAGCTTCATTAAAAAAAAATAATAAATAAAAATCTGCTATGTGTCCTTACAGGCTTTTTTCCCTAAAAAGGTGGGGTCTTTTGTCCACTCTTGGCATTAAAAAAAAATCACTAAGCCGGGATTTTTCCAAGTGTTGGTCATTATAAATAACCAGCCTCAGTAATTAACATTCTGCCACTGAATAATTTTTGGTCCAGTAAACAGCCTTGTTTGTACACTCACTGAGATAGCCAAGAGTCTCTTGCTGTCAGTTGCTTAGAGAAGCCTCCTGAAATGAGTTCATATGGCACCATCCTCGAGACTATGTCTGATGTCCATAAACGAGTGTCTGAGCCTACCAGGCACTGGGGCACTATGGTAGATTTATATTTATATGTTCTGGATTACTTCTGCTTTATTGCTTACAAAATAACACTGTGACTTCTGTTGGCAACTGTAGGGTTTCTGCATTACTGTCTTTTGTATGTATGGGGTATTCTTTTATCTTGCAAATAAACTGATAACCTTTCTCTGCTGTAAGCATAGTAGAAAGCAGTCAGGCAATAAATGAATATGCTTTCCACAGGAAGGCCTCGAATAGAATATGCTTTGGAGTTTTGGGATTTAGTTTTTGAGAAAGTTTCAGACCAAATAAAGAACATCTAGAGCAGGCCAGTAAGAATGATTATGAAATCAGTATGATGAATTACAAAATTCATCATACTATGAATCATACATTTCATGGTATGAATTAATTTTCTGGGAAGAGAAGACTGAGGGTAGGGGACCCCATAATAGTCTTCAAGTATCTGAAAGATTCTTGTTAAGAGGGAAGAGAATGGTTTATTCTCCATGTTCTCTTTTGTGATACATGGTAGATAGCTGAAAAAGAAATAGGCTTAGTGCTGTTTGTGAAAGTCCGGAGTGGGTGTTAATAATATTTTAGTAATTCTGAAGTCAGTGAAACTTTGATGCGAATTGTCTGGGGGATGCATGGCATCTCTGTCATAGGATGTCTTAACAACCAGACTGACAGTGGTCAGGAATGACCTTCTGACCTTGTTCTGTGGCAGCAAGATGAACTAGATAAGACCATTATGTCTTCCCATGTCTTTTATGGTATGATTTGACCCTTGCCTTACTTCAGGTGACTTTTCTTACTGACTTGGAATGTATTGGTAAGGTGCTGATATTTCATGTCACAAGCTCCTGTAAGCAGATTGTTCGGCAAGAACATTTACTTTGTTTATAAAGCAGAAGTGTCTAATATTATTGCAAGAAGGAGATTAGAATAATGAACTCAGAACCTTCAGGAGAAGGCAAGGACAAAGTGGCCAAAATTTGTCTATCAACATCTCAGTATTTTGAAGACAACTTTATCAACATCTCAGTGTTTTGAAGACAACTTTATAATCATCTAAGTGTTTGGCGAAGGCAATACTCTTGGCCTTAGCTTTGGCCTCAGCCTTGGCCTCATTTGTTCTCCTTGAATACTTTCTTATTTTACATTGCTGTCACTTTCTTTTCCAACACACATTTGTTAAGCACAAAGGTTTCACCCATAAAATATTTTATGTCTACAAATGCTTCTCCTCCATGAGTGCTTAATAAATCTTGCATTGCTGTCAACAGAGACATGTATGCTCCCTCTATCCGTTGTGTTCATACTCTCCTGTCAGCACAAGGGTTTTTAGGTGGTGAACTGGAGCCAAGGACTGATCCTGGTCTTACCCAGACTGGCAAAATTAAGAAAATCAAACCAAACTCAAACCATTTTAACCAGGCTCACTTGTCCAGTCTGCAAGACCGTAAAAACGTATGTGTCAAGGGTTGTACAGGAATCTGAATGAGCTGGTTTCTGTCTGGCAAAAGTGAGAGCAGCCTTTTGAAAGGGTAGTGCAAGACCTAAAACCAGGGAACAGGTACCAAGGAAAAGTTGTTCTCTCCTGTCCTACTCTATGTTTGTTTAGCACTGCAGCTGCTTAATAGAGTACCAAAAGAAAATACTTATCAGCTTTTGCAAAAGTGCAGGTCAGAATAAGTGAGAGAAAGTCTGTTACTTCTCTGACTCTATAGTAGAAATTTTATTCCTAACAGATTTTGTAACCTCTTTCCTCAGTTTGCTGGCACAACGGCTACGAAAAAAACCACCTTTTTTCCTGATACTGTACACAGTCTTCAAATCCATGCTGAATAAACATGGATTCCTGACATGCAACTTCCTCAGAGTATGTTGTTCTCCATGGTTCATTTAAGATGCTAAAGCTGTTCTTGAAAGACATATTTTGGAGAAGACTTTGGACAAGCATCTATATGCAATGCTTTCTTTGAAAAAAATTACTATTGCATTTTTGAGAGACATAGCTAATCCATTTTGGCCTGAATTTCTTCCCTTCACAAAAGCAGATCTCAATCCTGGTGCGTAATTTATGATCTTGGCATCCAGCCCAAACATATGTACATACTGAAATCAGTTTTGCATCTGTTTAACTTTATGCACATGAGTAGTCTAATTGGATTTAGTATGATGAAATTACTCATGAGAAATCAAGTGTTTGCAGAACAAGGGTTTCAGACAGTAGGGCTCTTCAGGGCAGTAGCTTCCAGAGCTTTATATTGTGCCTAGCTCGTGAAATGGCTTTTTGATTATGTAGAAGCGCTATGCATGCTGTATAGCTGTCGAACAACGTGAAATGAAGTACAAAAGAACAAGTCTTGCAGTCTAGGTCAGATCTTCTACTGCATAACACTTGGGCACAAGTACAATGATTGTGACAATAAATTAATTGTAACTTTATTAAAAAAAAGAAAAAAATTCTTCTGTGAATCTTTTCAGGATCAAGGAGAATAACTCTTCTTATTCCTTTATAACAGGCCACCAGGCTGTAGCTGTTGGTCTTCTGGTAGCCATTGGCCAGATTATATACTGTTGCTTATATATGCTAGACACTCTGATAAGTTATAACCATCATCTCCTAGCAGGATGGAAACATGTTCTTCTGAAGCTTGACAATTCAATGGGTTCAACACCTCCTGCAAGGAAGTTATTTGAATAGGTAGCAGTGTAGGTATTCATCATCTTCCCACAACAAAATATCTATGTCAAGGAACAGGGTTTTAAGATGCTTTCCCATGTCTTATCTTCCCATGCCATCATATGTCTGCCATCCTGAACCCTGGCTACTTTCTTGCCTCCTAACTGTGCTGTCATAGGCTGCAGGAAGAGAGAGGTGATGCTGAGCTTCCTATTTGTTGAAGTTTGTATCCAGAAACTGGCTCTTCTGTTTTCTTTTGATGTTTTCTCATTCTCTCAATGTCTGCTATAAGGGTCCAGGGAATGGAAAGTGATCTACAGGGCGAAGAGACTCAAAGGGATGAGAGAGGCAAAAAGATCTGATGTTAGAAGCATTAGAAAAAAAGTGGAACTCCAGGGAAAATGTACTGTGAGAAGATAGTTTGGGGAGGATAGATAAAGAAGGAAGGCTTGGAGTATCAGTGCTGTTAAGGCAAGGCAAGGAAATTTATGGGAGTGACTTCACAACTGGTGGTGTAATGGAGACCAACATGAGATGGAAATTAAAATAGTGAAAGAAATATGTTGGAGTAAGCGTATAAAGCAAGAAGTATACCTGAAAGACAAATAGTTTTGTTGGCCTTTCCCTCCTATCTTACTGTCCAGTGACATTCTGTGATTGGTGAAAACACCCTGAAATAAAGACAATTTTAGGAAGCTCAGTGTGTATGTGAAGTTCATGTTGTACCTAATTCAGAACCCTCTGAAGTTAATAGACTACAGTGTGCTTTAAAGCAAGAGAGGAAAATACTGAGATATTACAGGATTAAAATATTATAGAAGTAAAACCGCTCTGAATTACCTAAACGTGAATCCGATGGTTCTGGAGAAGCTACTCTCTGATACTTTTGAGTGATTAGGGGAAAGCTTTGATCTTAAAGTGCTATGTTGTAGAAGACCTTTTATAACTGAAGTCTTTTTGTGGCCTGCAGTCTGAAGCATATGCAGAGGAAACAGGTAACTGAAGTCTTGATATCACAAGGAAAAAATCACTATTGATTTTTGGTAATTGAAAATTTTTTGGTCCTACAAATGGATACACCTTAATGAGATGGTCATCTGTTTTATCCAGCAAGCTGATTTTCTGGAAAAGGGTAAAGTTCAGAGTGCTGATACGCAAAGAGAAAAATGGTTTTATTACATGATTTTCAGAAAAGCATTCAAAATACTAGCATCTTTAATTCATTCTGAGGTTTTGCAAGTGAAACTAGAACATAGTTCTTGGTAATATTTCATATTGATTGGATGAATATCAATGTTTCCTACTTAAATCCTCTTTGCCTTAAAACGTCTAATTTTTAATCCTTTACGGTTTTGTGCAAATCAGCTGCCCCTTATTTACATACTGGCTAATACAAAGAAGTTGGTATTTGTAAGACATTCCTGTATGCAGTACTTAAACAAGGCTGTATGGCAAAGATCTTGTGTTAATTGTAATTATTGTAGGTAATTCATTTGTTAATTGATTTACTGAATCTGCATCTGGTCACATTTTTTTGAAGTCCTGAAATGAACGTTACTGTGAATGTTTGCTTTTACAAGGGTTATGAGCACTTCGCCTTGAACAAAGAATAAAAAGAAATAATGGAATTCTTTAAATATTTATAAAGCATTTTTGATGAGTAGACCTTATTTCCATGGTGAATTTTTACGAACATACCCTTTTTGTCTATTTTCAGTCCCCTGCACATAGCTATTCAAGCTATGACTCTGGGAAGAATGAGAGTGTAGGCAGAGGTGCTGAAGATCTGTCTCTGAATCGAGGAGATGAGGATGAAGATGACCATGATGAGCAGGAAGATCCTGAGAAGGTTAATGAATCAGATGGGGTAGAAGCTGAGCGACTGAAAGCTTTTAATGTAAGTCCTGTTGCACTCATTGTTTTGTTTAGTTCTACTATTCCTTTGACATTATTATTTATGGGTAAGTTTGATGATATTAAAGGCACATTAACTGAATTTGCAGGATTTATTTTAATTATTATTTTAACGCACATTAAACTCTTGCCAACAGATGACAGATTTACTGTGTTTTATTTAGATTGTTAAGGCAGAATGCCATCTTTACCAGTGAGGAAAACAAAGCTTTGTTCTGTACGTATGTGTGTGCACCCGTGTGTGTGGATGTGTGTGTGTGCATGTTCACCCATTGAATGGAAAGGGGCTGCAGCTAGTATATTAGAAGACCGTCCAGTGGTCAACTGTTCTCTATTGCCTTCCCAATATATGTAATTATGCATGAAAACACAAGCAATTGTTCAAACAAACAGAAAGTGAGAGTCAGTTCAATAAACTGATTAGCAATCACAGCTTATTGTTAATAATGAAACTTAAGTAGTGCCTATTTTCACAATCTGTTCTGGTTTATCTCACAAATTCTGTATCCTATAGACTATTCTTTTCCTGTCTTTTTTTTTTTTTTTTTAATCACCCCCCCTGAAATAACCCTTTATAGAACTGTTTGCTTAATATTTCTGGCTTCCCATTACAAAGCTCTTCAGTGGATAGAAAAAATGTCTTCCTATCAGTAATCAAGACAGAAAGCTAGGAAGAGAAGAGAGCTGCCCTCCAAACCCATCTCCTCTGTCTCCCTCTTGCCAACAGATGTTTGTCAGGCTGTTTGTAGATGAAAACTTGGACCGAATGGTCCCAATCTCTAAGCAGCCCAAAGAAAAGATCCAGGCTATCATTGACTCATGCAGGCGACAATTCCCTGAGTATCAAGAGCGTGCCAGAAAACGCATACGTACTTACCTCAAGTCCTGCAGGCGGATGAAAAGAAGTGGTTTTGAGATGGTGAGTTTTGATTTAAAACCCAGCCCTAGTTTCCATCAAAACCCCATATGTAAATCCATGGCACTATTTTGTTTTCATCTTAGTGTCTTTTTTTTGTTTGTTTATTTTTTCAATAATACCAGGTCAAAGGTTTCTTTTTCCTTCCTTCATTCTTCCTGAATTTATTCCCTTTGTTCACTGGTTTAAAATGCTTTGAGACACTATAGTTCACAAGATGAACTAGTATGGATGTATAGGAAAAGAAGAAAACCAGGTGTAAGGAAGGAAACCAAATTATGGCATATATAATGACTTATTTCCTACTTCAAGTTACAGTTAAGAGATTTTTGCCTGGAAAAGTCTTTCAGTAAGATGGATTTTTCTTTAAAATGCCTCTGCTAACTGGATTTCTGTGAACTATGTAAAAATTAGATCCTGCTAGAGAGACGCTATGCTCAAGAGAATGCCTAGTGTAGTAACATCACACTGGCAATGGTTTTGGCTTTAGGTTTTGTTCTTGTACACATTAGCCTACTATTTCTCAGTGAAAATTACTCCTCTGAAATCTTTCAGTTGATACATAGGTGTGCAAAACACATTAAATGGTTTTAAAACACAGACATTAAGCTTTCAGTATGAGCATCTCAATGGTTTAGTAATTTTAATTGAACCAAACCCCATGAAAATTATGATAGTATTCAACTGTCATTGTTTTCAGACATTAATATTTTCATATTACTCAGTAGCACAAGAATGGGTAAATAATAAGTCTTCACATTAATTTGTAGCTTCATTATCTCTAAGCCCCTTTCGTATTTCCCAAACCCAGGAAAGTCAGAAGAAATTAGGTAGCTACACGCCTTATGTTTGATGTGTCTTAGCTATAACTCTGGCCTTTAGATTACAGTGAAACCACCTCATCATTACAAATAGATATCATTTAGTGGTTAAACATATCATTTTTTTTTTTTTTAATTAATCATCTGCAAACCCATTGATTACACTAAAAAATTACTGGAGATGATTGAATTTTACTGTTTCTCTCTTTCTCTCTGTCTTTCTCTTTCCTGCAGTCTTTGCAGAATACTTATGATTTCCATATGTTGTTTAAGATGTTAGCTGGCAGTCTTAAGAACAAAGTATCAGGTTTATTTGTAGGATGAGACTGGATAACACAAAAGAAAAGACAGAAACTAAATTCTTGTATGTGTTTGTGATTCTAATCAACTGCATGGTTTTATTATTTGAAACAGTAGGATAACACTGTTTCTAAGCAATGGAAACACAGATAAAGAGAGACAGGTAGAATCAAGGACATCTGTATAGTTATAAGTGCCAAAGATTGACTGGTGGTGTACATGTCAGATTGTATAGCCTTCCAAAGTGAAGGAAGGAAGACCAGAAAGTAAATATTTTCTATGATACACTAAGTAGCATCAAATTGCATCTACTCGCTCTAGCTGAAAATAATCCAGCAGTATCAAGTTCAGCTTTCATGATGCCAAATATTTTTATTTTGCTGTACTTCCAATTGAAAATGAGGAAAAAAAAAAAGCTGATGCGTGCAAGTCTCCTCACTGTTCCAGTTTATGGCCTCATTACTGTCATTATTCACACTGATGAGCAGTTATGTAAACTGGCTCATTTTTTGTCATCTGAAAGACTTGCACAACTGTTTTGCAGTACGAATAAGGGGCTTACGGTCTGACCCATAAGAGTTGGGTTGGCTTGACTTCAGTTCACATTTGCAACTGTTACTTTCATATGAATAAAGGTTGCAGGAACAAATTTATTCCTGGGAAGGGAAAAGGAGAAGAGATCTAAATAGGCAGTCTTTATAGTTCAGAAATATTCTCTATTTTTATAATGTTCCATGACAGTTTATGATGGGCTTTATTTTCTTTAAACAAACAAATTACCCTCTAAAATACTGACTTTGCTACCCATGAATGGAAGTGACAAGGCACTGGAGCTCATGCCAGAGATTTCATCCCTCTTGGGCCTGAAGGGAAATCTGTACTGCTTCCTCATTTGAGCCAAAGACTGTCCAAAGCCTTTGCGGCAGCTCCCATTAACTTCCTGAGAGAATAATTGGTGTTTTATCTGTATGTCTTGAATAATTCTGAAATTAAATATGTATCCATTTGTTGGGTTTAATTATTTTCTGATTTATAAATTACTGTATCAGCATCTCCTGATTATAAGCACTTTTAAAAAATGCTACCATGGACAGAGGCACTTAACTGTATGATTATTTTAATGTACTTACCATTTTGACAGTGGAAAAGAATCACTTTGTCTGGATAATAACATTTGTTCAAAACAATCATGAAGGGACATGCTGGTGTTGATTTGAATAAGATGCTACCCTCAGATATAGCAAAACAGGATAATGATCTCCTCGGGAGCAATAGTGCTACCGTTGTTATATTAAATAGGATGTCAAATAATAATCTCCACAGGAGATGTCTTTTACTGTAGACATATTAAACACAAGTTTTTCATTTTGTTCAGGTTCAGAATGCTACATTTTGAGCATCTAGTTGCAAGAGAAAAGGAGAATAATCTCATATTATAGCATATGACAGTTCAGACTGTGTGTGGAACAGTGCAGCTATATACAGCATCATTGTAAAGTGAAGAAAAAATGTAAACACTAAGTTAAATTAGTGTAAGACAGCATGGTAAAGATGAAAAAAACCATGCCTGAAGCCTGCTTCTGTCAGTTATTTGCCATCTGTAATCCAAATGACAGTTCTTGCTGTATAACAGGCCAATTCTAGCTCCGAGGCAATAAGAAAGGCTCAGTCTCATGAGTGTTCATATTGTTAATTAATATGTTTCTTAGTATTAATATTTTTAAGAGATTGCTTATAGTTATTCTGCTTCTAGTTATGACAGATAGCTGTCCATGGACTCCAAGGCAGCTGGCATAGCTTCCTGTTATGAATATTCCTTTGAGGACCTCCCTTTCTACATTGGAAATGCTTTCCCCATTTAACTGTTCAGCTTTTAATCGTGCTGTTTTCCTTCTGACACAAGCATATCCCTCAACAAGGCACTGTCAAAATCTTTTCTCATGAATTGTAAGATTGTTTTTCTCCTCCCATTGTCTCTTGCTTATGGTCTGTTGAGAATGATCTCTTACTGAGTTCTATGATCTTGCTCGGAATCTTTCATTGTGAGGGATCTCTAGGTTGTGCTTCCACCTGTTCTATGCTGTAGCACTTTGTGAATTTCTTATGATGTTCTTAAAGAAATTCTTTCTTTTTCTCTTCATTAGCCCATAAGCCAGAAAAAAAACACCACCACCTTCTTTATCAAGGACTGATATTAATGAGAATTCTTTTTTCTACAGTTAGAGTTTTGTGACCTATATATGCAATATAGGAGGAATTTTCTCCCTGAAAAGGTCCACTGACCTGTTTCACAGATGTTTTTATAAACCATCCTTTACACTTATCCCAGCCTCTGTGTTTATGGAAAACTGTCAGTTAAGAAAAAGATAGTCAACAGCTGCAGAGGATATGTGGTATGTATCTATTTAGTTGCAGTCGAGAAAAAAATTTAGATGCTAGAAATAATCAAATGTGATTGGATTGACTTAATTAAATTTTCTTTCTGATATCTACTTCCTCCCATCTTCATGGTCTCCTATCATGAATTGCACAGCATTCAGTGTGAAACTGCATCTTACAGTACCTTTTTCTATGGGCATCCCAATTCAAGAGCAAGGTCTTAAACACTGATTCACAAAGAGATTCTTCCTTTTCTAAAGCAAAAGGAAATCCTTCTTCCTAGGCACTATTGTAATACAAAGCAATAGTATCAAAATGTTCTTATTCATTGGAGAGAAAAGGCTAGTCATAAATGCTTTTTGACATTGTCCCGAGACAAGTTTGGATATGTCAGAGAAGAAGAATCACACTATGTCTGAAGACAGTTCCTCAGTTAAATCCTAGTGTTAGTCCCAGCTCCTTCTGTCGTATTGTCAGCCTCTGTAACAAATAACTAACCTCTGTATCTTTCACTGCTTTTATTATTTGGTTGTGGCAACTGGCTGTAGAAGGTGTTTTAACAATTTGCAACTGTGGGCATGTTGATCAAGGTGTTTTAACTGTGTATAGTGGCTTGGAGTGCTTCTGTGATTGTGTAACTTTCAGTGGGGACTGTTTTTCAGAAGATCATGTGTTTTCTGAAATCTTCTTGAGACAGGTATCTAGCCTCTGTTTTTAAGTTTTAGCTTTAGAGAGAGGAGGCTTTCATTAGTTACTGAATTTAGTGCTTAATAGTCCAGGTGCCCTTGCAGTCACAAGGCTTTTCAATCCTCCAGGCCTTTTATGACGGGAAAGGTGATGAGCATTTTCAGGAAGATGAAGGTCTGTGAATCCAGGGATGCATACCTAATCTTGATTTATAAGCTGGGAAGCATTAAGAAAATTATCATAAGAATAGTTATATGAAGATCTACAAATAATAATAGAGTTGTTGCTTTGTACTATACCCCAAACTCTGTTGATCAGTCACTTACCTTTAAGTTGGAAACACTGTTTGACAGTGGTTAGCTTATGTAAGTCTGATGGGCAATGTGATTGAAAAGGGTAAAGCTACTTTCTGACAAACTTTGAGTTTCCCATTATGTCTCAGATATCCTTAAAAATAAATAAATTCTTGAAACAAGTTTCCCAAAGGCTCTGAAATATCCTTCTGCCTTCCCCTGAATACTCATGTGATTTTTAAGACCTGCTTTTTAAATCTGTCTCACATACCTTTTGCTTTTCAATAACTAATAAGTATAGGCAATTTTGGAAAAGTGAGTGGTGTAAGAAGTTACAGTTTTTCCAGTATCCTCAAAAAAAGTGATGAAGCTACCTTTGAAAAACGCGTGATATTTGGGAAAAGAGTGAAAACTAAAAAATAAAAAATACCCAGCAACCTGAGACTGAGTAGTCTTCTACATTCTGTGACAGAGGAGAAGGGAGGAATGCATTTTTAAATCTACTTTAGAAGAAAAACAGTCC